GTGGGTTTTTTTTTTTTGGTTTTTTTTTTGGTTTTTTTTTTATTCCAGAGAAGAAGGAAGAGGGAGAAACATCAATGATGAGAGAGAATCATGGATCGGCTGCCTGCTGCATGCCCCACACGGGGGATGGAGCCTGCAACCCGGGCCTGTGCCCTGACCGGGAATCAAACCCGGGACCCTTCAGTCTGCAGGCCAAGGCTCCATCCGCTGAGCCACGCCACCAGGGCGCCCTACCCTGTTCTTTCTCCCATTTCCTTTGCAGCAGACAGGTTTTCAGTAGGTGCTTAATCGCTGGAGGTCCTCCCTCAGGGGAAGCCTGGTTTCGCCTCTCAGCCGTCAGAATTCTCCTGGCACCGCCCAGCCTGCATTGCCTGTGTTCATGATGGCAGAGAGATAGAGAGTTAGAAACATCGATGGGAGAGAAACATCGATCAGCCGCCTCCTGCACACCCCTCCACTGGGGATGTGCCCGCAACCAAGGTCCATGCCCTTGACTGGAATCGAACCCGGGACCCTTCAGTCCGCAGGCCGGCGCTCTATCCACTGAGCCACACCGGCTTCGGCAGCCATTGCTTTCTAAGGAGAGTGGAAAAGAGAGGGAAAGACAGAGAGAAACATTGATGTGAGAGAGACACATCGATGGGTTGCGTCCTGCAGGAGCCCGGACCAGAGCCCAGGCCGGGAGGAGCCTGCAACCAAGGCACATGCCCTCGACCGGAATCGAACCCGGGACCCTTCAGCCCGCAGGCCGACGCTCTATCCACTGAGCCACACCGGTTTCGGCCTGTCCGTGTTCTTCTGTTTAAATGTTTACTAAGCCAAAACTGGTCAGGGTTCGATTCCGGTCAGGGGCATGTACATTGGTTGTGGGCACATCCCCAGTGGGGGGCGTGCAGGAGGCAGCCGACCCGTGATCCTCTCTCATCATGGATGTTTCTCTCTCTCTCTTTCTCCCTTCCTCTCTGAAATCAATAAGATTTTTAAGCGCTGGCCAGTGTTGCTCAGTGGAGAGAGCGTCGGCCTGCGGACCGAGGGGTCCCAGGTACGATTCCGGCCAAGGGCATGGACCTTGGTTGCGGGCACATCCCCGGTGGGGGGTGTGCAGAAGGCAGCTGGTCGATGTTTCTCTCTCATCGGTGTTTCTACCTCTCTATCCCTCTTCCTTCCTCTCTGTGAAAAATCAATAAAATATATTAAAAAATAATAATAAAAAAATAAAGTGAACGTTTGCTGAGCAATGACTTCTCCGGCCAGTGTCCTGAGTGAACAAAACAGAGCCCAGACCTGGGCAGGGTGGTTCAGGGGTTAGAGTCTGGGTCGCAGGGTTGATCCCAGCCCTGGTCTCGGTGGGTGTGGGAGGCAACCGGTCGATCTGTGTGTTTCTTTCACATCCACGTTCCTCTCTGCCTCCCTCTCCCTTCCCCTCTCTGAAGTCAATGAGAACATTTTAAAAATCTATACTAATAAAAGAGTAATACACTAATTAGTAATACACTAATTCCGAACAAAGGCCACGGTGGCAAGGGCTAAGGCAGAGGCAGTTAGGGGCGATCTGGCTGGCAGGGGAGCAGTTGGGGGGGACCAGGCCTGCAGGGGAGGGCAGTTAGGGGCGATCAGGCCGGCAGGGGAGGGCAGTTAGGGGCAATCAGGCCGGCAGGGGAGGGCAGTTAGGGGCAATCAGGCCGGCAGGGGAGGGCAGTTAGGGGCAATCAGGCAGGCAGGGGAGGGCAGTTAGGGGCAATCAGGCAGGCAGGGGAGGGCAGTTAGGGGCAATCAGGCCGGCAGGGGAGGGCAGTTAGGGGCAGCAGGCCAGCAGGGGAGGGCAGTTGGGGGGGACCAGGCCTGCAGGGGAGGGCAGTTAGGGGCAATCAGGCCGGCAGGGGAGGGCAGTTGGGGGGGACCAGGCCTGCAGGGGAGGGCAGTTAGGGGCATCTGGCCGGCAGGGGAGGGCAGTTAGGGGCAGCAGGCCGGCAGGCACAGATGGTTAGGAGCTCCCCTGCTGTCCAGAGGCCCCTAACTGCCTAATGTTTCTCTCTTATTGATATTTCTAGCTCTCTCTCCCTCTCCCTTCCTCTCTGTAAAAAAAAAAAAAAAAAAAAAAAAAAAAAAATCAATAAAATATACTTAAAAATATAATAATAAAAAAAAAAGAAGATGGAACTCTTGCCACTTGCAACAGCATGGAAGGACCTGGAGAGAGAGCATCATGCTGAGCGAAATAAGCCAGTTGGAGGAAGATAACTATCACATGACGTCACCCGTTTGTGGGATATAATGAACAACATAATTGGATGAACAAGAATGGGTCCAGGGATAAAGGGCAGGGAGGAGGGGGGGTAGAGAGCACGCACGCACATGAGCATCGCCAGTGGACACAAACACTGGGGCGGGGGGGCCTTGCCAGGGTGGGAATGGCTGCAGGGCGTCAGATGCAGAAAAAAGAGGCATATGCAAAACTTTAGACAATAAAAAAATAAATAAATAAAGGAAGGAAATGTGTTCTGAAGCCCTGGCCGGCTCGCTCTGTCAGTGAGAGCATTGTCCCCATACGCCAGGGTGGTGGGTTCGACCTCCGGTCAGCGGGACACAGACAAGAAGCCAGTGGCTCCGGCCGGTGTGGCTCAGTGGATGGAGCGTTGGCCCTCAGGCTGAAGGGTGCCTCGGTGGCAGGCTCCGTCCTCCCCCCACCCCCAGCCCTGATCAGGGTGCATTCAGAGGGCAACCCGTCCATGTGTCTCTCTCTCATCGATGTTTCTCTCTCGGTGTCTCTCCCCCTCCCTTCCACTCGCCCTGAAAATCAATGGCAACCACTGCCTCGGGT